CATTTAGCCGGTCTCATAAATCGGAAATCGGAAACAACACATGAACATAGAGAATGATTATAATCCATGTCTCAATTCATACGATATCTAGAATGGAGGAATATATGATCCCTTATCTAATGGACGCATTATTTGACTAGGTCAGCGTTCGAAAACAACTTTTAAGAGCTACGATTGCTAGTCGAGATTTTGGAGTCGTACTTGCAATAATATTTATTATACTTATCCAAGTGGGAGACTATTAGATTAGGTGTCTAAGTCCATAACTATAATTGGTATGTACTCGACCCAAGAGTAGCATGGTCCATTTGGGTTGCCTTCACCAGAACAATATGATAGGATGGATATTTGAGAAAGAGATTATTTGTGATTTATTAATATATTATAGGTATAAAATATTAGTATGAAATCATGTTATTTAATTAGTATTGATCAAGAATTAATTTGGAATTAAATTAGTAATCAAAAGAGACTAATTAAATTATATATATATATATATATATATATATATATATATATATATATATATATATATATATATAGTGTTTGGGCTATTGATCCATGTTGGGCTAAGTTTTATGTAAGTATCCATGAAGAGTTAGCCCTCATGAGATGTGGATCATAACCTAAGTGTATGGATTAGGGTTTACATATGACTCTTGGAATCCTACGCTATATAAATGTTACCCCTTAGCCAAAATCGGGACATCTATGTATTCTAAGAGAATCATAACCAGTTTTAGTGTGTCTATACTCTCTCTCAAAGTCCTCCATTGTTCATGGTGTTTGTGAACCATTTGAGGCATCACACTTTAGGTGCTAAGCTCTTGAAAGGCCAAGAACTGCAACTACATCAAGAGGTATTCATATAACTATGAGTTTTATACTGTATATCCTCCGTTGTATGCTAGTTAGTCTGTATGCTTTGGAAAAATTCATATTGCATGTATAATTAGAGAAAACATAGATCCAAAGCATCTAGGGTTGCATGTGCACCATAGGAGTGTTATAGTGCTTAAAACCCAACACATTACACCTCCTCATGGGAAGTTTCTAGGTCCTGTATATTCTCGACTATTCTAGAGTGTTCTATCAATATCTATATTATCTTTAAAAGACTCCATATTATGCTACACTATTCTATAATCCTCTAGATGTCTCTAGGATGTTATGATATTATCCAAGCTATTATTGCAATGATCTAGCATGTTCTAGATCGTTATCGAGTCTTCCGAGTCATTCTAGTTTCGTCTAGTGTCGTCTTGAATATTCTGGAGACTCCTCGTGTATTCTTTATTGTTCCAACGTTTTCTACACAATCTCGGAGACTTCCATCCATGACACAGGTCCCCAATATCCCACTAAGATCTTTAATCACCAAGCTAGAAAGATTTACTCGTTATGTTTTCTAACTTATTATACTATGCTAGAAGAATTAAATATTATATATTAGAATCGCTAAGTGTATAATATGATTTTTTAAATACAATTTATTCGTTATGATTTTTAAAATACAATAAACATATATAAAATTGTTTTTACACGTATTTATATATATAAATGATGTACGTATTCCACAAGTAAATATTTATAAAAACATTTTATATATGTTTATATGTATAATTTGTTTTATATATTTTAATGAGTATAAATTTTTTTATTCATATGTATAAAATGCTTAAAATTTGTTTTTTCAAATATGTATTTTATGTGGAATAAATACATTATATATATGTTTTTCTACTAAAAAGTACATATTGTAATAGGTATTTTCATTTAAAAATATATAAAATTCGTTTTTGAAGTATACATGTGCTTTCAAATGTATAAATACATTAAATGTTTAAATATTTTTTAAAAATATATAAATACTCTTTTTTAAATATATAAATAACTTTAAAAATACATTCATACATTTAAAACGTATTTTTTACCTTTAAGATATATGTTTGTACATTTAAAAATGTCTATATAAGTCCATAATAATAATAATAATAATAATAATAACCATCAATTTATTATATATATAAAAGTTAAACAAAAAAAACATGTATATTATCTAGCCTTGTGGTTAAGGTTTTGGCCTTTTGTAGAGGAGGTCGGGAGTTCAAATATTGCAAACTTCATTTTGTCCTCTAATAAACTAATTTTAATGACATCTAACCAACAATGTTTTTGTCGTTAGGTAGTAGAGACTATCCTTCATCCCAAGAAACTTATTGCTCTCAGTTACGTTACCTGAAAATTTTTCACCATCTCATGGTATTCACACCTTTTCATCTAAGTGAATATTAGATTATGTTAATGCATAAAGAAAGTCATATCACAGAGTTCTAGCAAGGATAAGGTTATAAATAGATGAAAGGTCATTTGAATTTTCCTTAAACTCAAAATTAGTGATGATCGTGCTTAAAGCTAGAAAGAATGTCCATTTATGAAACAGATTAGTGTAAATGACCCATAACATTTGATTTTTCTTTGTGTTTACTCTTTACTTTTTTTTATAAACACCAAGTGTTCGATAAAATTCCTTAATTGAAAGAACTCCACGATTTTTGGGCTCATGTATTAACGTTTGTCTCAACTCGTATTAATATAGTCAGTATATTTAGTTAAAGGATTGCTCCTTTGACAAACAAGGAATGGAAGGATTCATGAGAAAATAAAGAAAGAAGAATAAAGATAAACTAAGGAAACAAGAAACAAAATCATGATGAAAATAATATCATGGTTTTAGATATGCAATTTGATCACCGTGCCAGAAGAAAAGTATCAAAAGTTCCACATAAGAAGAAAAAGGCTTCTAAACCACTTAACCTGCAGTGACTTGGTAAGGCAAGTGGAAGATACGGTGGATAATCTATTAAACCTTGTTTAAAATCTGGCACTACTCAATCCTTGTGGTCATGGAGGTTCATCTACGGTTACTCCATTACTCCAGGGCATGAGGCATAACTTCATGTTTGCAGCGGGGGATTAGTCGGTGTGCAAAAGTTGACAAGAACCCTTGTTAGAAAAGTTTCCTAACCAAAAAAGAAAAAAGAAAAAAATGACTTCTATTCTAGCGGTATTAGGTGTTGTTCTCCCTCTTTGAGATCAAAAGTTCAAGTACCGACGTAGGCATATGTGAAATTAAGTGTTAGCTTAGGAGTAGATTATATTTATTGGTTCAAAAAAAAGTGTCACTGATTTTTTTGTAATATATATATATATATATATATATATATATATATATATATATATATATATATATACTTGGAGAATATGTGGCTGTTATCTACCTAATATTAAATATATAACCATCAAAAACTACATAATTTTAACAAAATACAATCAAATATCTCTACCATATTTATTGTATCTTCTATTAAAGCTTATGTTAGGCTTTGTATATATTTTTTATGGAGTTTTATAAGTTTAATTTTGCACTACAAACTATGTATAAAAATATTTTACCAACAACATGTAGTTCGGTATAGTGAAATTTATTAGAGAAAACTATAGTAAAAGATTGAACTTGTTCATTAAAAACCCGATAAACCTCTTCCCATAATCCATAAAAAAGGCAAGTATACATAAGTTAGGTGTCGGAGGAAGTTATAATGTTTCTGCTAGAAGTCTAATAAAAAACACATTCAAATACATAGATGTTAGGGATGAATTACAAAATAAAAGATCATACGAGTTCAAAAGCAGTAGGAAGAGAACCTAACAATAAAAGAAAATTGTGTTTTTTTTAATCAAAATGAAATCAATTTAGAAGTTTTTATACCTAATATTACATATATGATAACCACATATTCACTTTTATATATATATATATATATATATATATATATATATATATATATAGCCATTTATTTTTTAAAATCAAAGGTCTAAATTTATCTTTTATTTTGTTATCATTTTTCGAATGCTCAACCTAACCTATTTTTCGTTCTTGAAAAAAAGAAAAAAATAAAATAAAAAATATATATTGTGATAAAAAAAAGGGGTGACTAAAGAGACATCTATTTTATCATCTATCTAGGGGATGTTTGGTAAAAACATTTATTGTTTATTAGCTTACTAGCCGTTTACCCGCGCTAAGCGGGCGCAAAGACTTTCTTTCTGAAGATAGTAATGTGATGATTAGTTTCCTTTAGACAATAAAACGAAAGTTCATTGTTATTTTTTGCATTTTCCTCCTGATTTGATTGGGCAAAATGCAAGAAAAAAGCAATGCACTTCCATATTTTTGTCCAATATAGCATCTTACTCTTGTTGTGGTTCTTTGACAAACATAGCACCGAATCATTTTCACTACATAATTCTACTCAAAATCCAAAACTCGACAAAAATAGAAGATTAAAGATTTACTTGAGAGTAAAATACAAAATGGTCCCTGTATTTTTTTTAATTAATTGCGTTGAGCCTTAGAAAGAATGGGGCTCTAATGCATAAAATAAAATTGTAATGTTGTTATTGCTTGCATTTGACCCAAAAAAAAAGTTAAATAATAATAACAATAATAATAATAATATTTTTCTTGTTATTTTAGAGAATTAAATTGTAATTTAATTAAAGTAATAATCTTCTTTAAAAAGATGGGCGAGGGTTGTCTAAATGAATTAACACTAACCATTAGAAAGTTTCATATAATACCGACCATGATGTACAACTCAATGGCCATACCAAGGATTAACAATGTGATGTTCATGTCGTATGGACCATTAGGTACAAATGATCCAGACCCATAGTGTAGATCCACTCCACTCTACCCTAAACCTGAAATGTGTGAGTTGTAACAATGACATACGTGTAGTAATTACATACAAAAATTATAATTCATATTTGATATAACTTGCAACTAATCCATCACATACCTGATGTATATGCTAGGTTATGAATTTCTACTGTAACAATAGCATACGTTTAGTATATCCTATTGGTGTTTCAAAATAAAAAATTAAGACAAAGTAGAAGAATATACTACAAAACTAAATAAATATATAAATAGTGCCTAAATGACTAAAAAGTTATTAGATGTAATATAATATATAATTAAAGTATGTAATTATGTATAATCACAAATTAGTATGAAGTGGAATATAGCTTATTTAAATGTATAGAACTTACATCATGGTAGTATAAGATCATTCTTTAGTTTGTAAATTTAAGTGTTCTCCACACTGTACCAGGCTACAAGTAACTAAACGTATCAAAAGACAAAAATACCCTTGGCCTAAAAACATGAATCCTAAAGGATATGGGTAAACCTGATTGCTTTCTCCACACCCCTTTTTTCCTGTAAAGCCAGTTTCATGTGTTAATCTTGCATTTATTCCTCACCTTAAAGCAATAAATACAAGACAATGATCGTTATCATATATTGTAATTAAATGTTTTGATTATTACCTCTAATATTTTAATTAAATGTTTTGATTATTACCTCTAATATTGTATTTGTTAACAAAGCAATTTCATCATTATAAAACTTTGATTTTCTTTTAATGGTTTCTACAGAAGCTTTTTGTGTTTTGGACGTGGACCGTATTGCTTTTTCCTCCTCAATTTCAAGAAGCACATCAGTAATTTGTGGCATGCTATAAAATGAAAAAGAAAGAATCAAGTATGCGGAAACATTGTTATAAGGTTGATTGATAATAAAATAAACACTTTTGTTAAAATAATTACCATAGCCGATTCTTTCTTTTCCTCCACCAACATATTAGTAGAGATATTTGCAATCTAATTTTGTACTGTTGGGTATTCCAAGTTTGCCCTCTGAAACAATAATAAAATCATCATTATAAAGAAAACAATGAAAAAACCATGAATTTAAAAATTATGCAATATGCAATTTTAATGTGATGATTTAAGGTTTGATTGATATAGTTGGATCTTGAATTAGATCTTCAGATAATGGGATAAAGAAATACATGTGGTTTTGAAGTCGGTAAAAAGTGGTAAGATAGGGGATGGTGCGGTGAAGCAGATGGTGAGGTGTTCGTCGAGTGGAAAGTCGTTTGAGGTCGTGAGAGAGATTTACTGGGAGAGATTTCTTTCAAATTTAAATGATATGTGTAAGAAATGAGCACAGTCGAGAAAGACATGTTCAAGCACAATGGAAGCACTGGAGCATGATGTGCACTTATGCACAATGTTTAACATTTTGACAAATGTTAATGTTTACAATACCTCAGCCTCAAGCTTGAAGGTGTGCAATTGTGCACAGCAGCATAAAGTTGTATAATCTACATGTCCTTTTAGTTTCTAGTGGATGAAAAAGGAAGGCAACTAAGGCCCAAGGGTTATCACAAATTGAGAACTGTCTCACCAGAATGGTGTTAATTTCAATTTAAAATATTCCTCAGCCAATGAACTTAAAAATAACAAGCTATGAAACTTTAAATCTCATTGTATATTAAGCCGTGTGAGTATCATTATATCATCACTTGCAGTTGCATATGTGTGCAAAATTCGCGTTATGAAACAAGTATGGATGGATATGCAAATAGTAAATCATACATTTAATTTGAGACGCAATAGATATTATAAGATGCAAGCAAGTTTTGTTGAATTTAGTTACCAGCCTTGCAGTTATTATATACTCTTGGAATGAAAAGGGATTCCAGAAAATACTATCCACCAATCATATATAATTTTACCAAACATAATTAATTGACAAAATGAGTGGAACAAGAGGGAAGAGATATTACTGAATCGCACTTCCAGCTCGTTGAAAGATTGTAGATACCATAACATCTTTGTTCTTGGGGTCTTTGATGGGTTTGATCTTCGATGCTAAAGTACCCAACTCAATATTAATAGAATTCTATGGCGCACTTCTGAAAAAACGAACAGGTAGCCCCAACAAAGAATAGGCTTCGTGTATCAAGCATAGAGAAAACCTGGGAATCAATAATACCACAAAACACCACAACGCATAGCATAACTAACTTCAATGAACAATACAAAATTAAAATTAAAAAAAAATCGGAATACGTACCTTGATTATGTGGTCAGGATTGTGGTCAGTAGACATGGATTCGACAAGGCCATCGAATGAGGCGTCGATTAAGGTGGAATTGGAAATAGTAAACAAGAACTCCAATACAACGTCGATGTTTGGGTGTGAATCGTAAAGGTTTGACGTGGGAGGGGACGGAAAAGAGAGGCTTTCGATTTTCTGATCTGGGATTTTCTCTTTTCTTTCTTGATGATCTTCCTTAACTTCCCCGAGAATCTTGGTTGATGGTGGTTGATCTAAGTTTTCTAGGGTTATGGCTACTTGTGTGACGGAAAAGGGGACTGCATCTTTGGCCGAAACGGATGAGAATAGGTTTAGTGTAATACGCATATGATTGGTTACATGCTTAATATTATTGTACATCAGGTAATACATATTGTACCTCTTAATTTTCAAGAAATAGGAAATATGCTTAATAATATAGTAAAGATAAGCTAATAAATAAGTATAAGACAACTTATGAAAAAATGGTTTATTAGAGGTTTTCATGGAAATAAATTATTTTTCATTTAAATATTTTTGTACTTATAGCGGTGTGAAACCTCTAAGACGATGCGGTACGGGCCAGAACGAGAAGCAACGGAGATGAGGTGGAAGAGCGAAACGGCGTCACGATGCGGGGAACACCCCCCCCCCCCCCCTCAACTCGTTGAAGCTCGTTATTGCAAAACTCGTGGGTGTTAAGACGGATTGCAACGTATAAAATTCGAATGTTTCTTCACTCGACTGTTTGCAAACGGTCAAAATTAAATAAAAAATTACCTTTTGTCCTTATAAATACTACTTTTAAACCAAATTTTAAACCTTTCTTTCATTCTCTCTATATCTTATACACATATTTTCTTTAAATTTTTTAAAAAATGGAGCAACCCCCCCCCCCCCCCCTCCATCATCAAACCCAAACACAACCTCACCTCTCGGATCCGCGGGTTATGAAAATTATTTCAACCTTTTATCGTCTCAAGGCTCACCACAAATCCCATACCAAGGCGTTGCTTTCAATCCTGCTTCACCGCCACTGCAATTTCCCAACTCACCTTATTTTCAACAAAATTATTTGGTCAAAACCAAAATTTACAACAAAATCTTTTCCCTACTTTTGCTTCGATCTAACAAACAACCAACCAACCATCACCTACAACACAACCATCGGTTCAAGTGGAAGCGGGAGGTAGTAAGAGAAGGAAAGGGAAAGGAAAATCGAAAGGGAAATTGATAGCGGCTGAAATAGAAAATGCAGATGTTCCACAATGGTGGACACCAGATGAGGAATATGCTTTGACGGCGGCTTGGTGTGCTACTTCAAAAGATGAACTTAGCGGAAATGGAATGAAAAAAGGAGCTTATTGGGGGGCGGTGCTCAACAAGTTTCATGCTATTTTAAAGAAAAATTCGTATTGCAACAATGACATGTTGAGCAGAAAATGGGGTCAAATAACTAAGCGGTGCAGCAAATTCAACGATATTTACAACCGGCTTCAGGCGCAACAGCAAAGCGGAACCAATGACTTTGATTTGTTCAAATCTGCTAAGGAACAATATCGGGTCGGAATAGGACATGTTTTCAACTTTGAAAAATCATGGGAGTTGTTGCGAGCGAATCCAAGGTGGAATAAAACGCCTACATCATCTGAGGTTCAATCCAAAAGGTCTCGTAATTCGAGCTCGGTCGACATGTCAGACGCACAGACTCACATCAACCTAAACGCCGACATCGATGAGATCCCGGATGATATGGAGGAGATATCCCCACAACGACGACCGCCCGGACGCGACAAAGCGAGGCGCGCTGCAAGGCATGCGGAGGAGGTTGAGGCGAAAGCAAAAGATGTGGCGGAAATGAGAACGAAATTCGACGAGCACAATTTATTTATAAAAGAAAAAAATGAGTTGAAACGTCGTCATTTAGAGTTTCTAGAAAGGCAGATACGGGAGAAACAGACGCAAAAAGAGAGAGAATTAATGACATATCAGTTGTCAATTCTTCGGACGAGCGATGAGTGTTTGATGCCTACTGATCTAACGGTGCTACAAACGATGAAGGAACAAATTAGGAAGCAATATTTGAGTTAATTAGGATTTTAGGAGTAATTTGAATGATATTTTAGTTATGATTTTATTTTAGGTTTAAATTATGTTTTTTTAATTGTAATCGTAATTTTAGATTTTAAATATTATGCCTTTTTTTTTGCTTTTATAATTTTATGTTTTATAAAAATATATTCATGTTAGTGATTAAAAAAACAAAAAAATAAAAAAATGAAAAAAAGGAAAAAGGAAAAAAACCCAAAAAAGTAAAAAGTAAAAAATCAAATTCGAAAAAAAATCAAACAAAAAATATTTATTCTTAAAAAATTGGTGCTACATCTTGTAGCTTATCTTCACACTTGGTGTTATAACACTATGCTTATGTGACATGTAAAATGACACAACTTGATGTTGTATCTTGTTCCACATCCAATTCTTTACTTATGTGACATGTAAAATGACACAACTTGATGTTGCATTTTGTTTCACATCCAATTCTTTACTAAAATTGTTTTTATAGATTAAAATCAAAAGAGTAACTTGATAAGTTAAATTACTACACTTGACACTTCCAAGTCAAACCAACTTCCATGAGTCCATTGAACGGGGATTTCATCACATGACCAACCCCCAGCCTACCCCACCCACCCCCACCATTCTTTCAGGCTTCAGTACCTCCGACCCCATAAAAACCACCCACAAAGCCACCCCAAAACCACCACCAAAATAATCAAACACATCCAAAAATGGTGATTGCAACAAACACAAGAGTCGAAAGCTTATCAAAAAGTGGGATTCATCAAATCCCAAAAGAATACATCCGACCACAAGATGAACTATCAACCATCACCAACATCTTACACGAAATTAACAACGACGACAAAGGGCCACAGCTCCCCACCATCGACTTAAACGACATAAACTCCGGCGACCCAAAAACCATGGAAAACTGTAGCAACGAGCTGAGAAAAGCAGCCACCGAGTGGGGCGTCATGCATCTCGTCAACCATGGAATCTCCGACGACCTCATCGCTCGTGTCAAGGCTGCCGGCGAGAGTTTCTTCTCTCAGCCTGTAGAGGAGAAAGAAAAACATTGTAACGATATTGCTTCAGGGAAGATTCAAGGGTATGGAAGTAAATTGGCGAACAATGCATCGGGGCAACTCGAATGGGAAGACTACTTCTTTCACACTGTGTTTCCCGAGGATAAACGTGATTTGACCGTTTGGCCCTCCACGCCCAATGATTATATGTAAGTTAATTGATATTAAAAGCTTTCATAGTGTCTCAACAACATGCATCTCAGCATCTCTATAATATCAAAAGACAAAATGATATAACGTTTAGTTATTTCACAAAATTGCTTAATTTGACATGGTATTTTACGATAGAAAAATGTATTAAAACGGCGAATTAGTTTTGCAAAAAAAAAAAAAAAAAAAAAAAACTTGAAAAAAGTTCGTGCAATTGCTTTCTACACTCATGATTAGTTAAACTTTTGCGAAGATAGCATCGTTTTCATGAAATAATATTAACTTTTAGGAACAAATTAATTTCATTTTCATGAATGAGAAGGAATTGGTGCAGTTTTTGTCCTAAATTTTTTAGTAGTATGTCTACACAGTATATTATATCGAATCGAATGTGGAAGTTAATATCTAGGGAAACATTCGATAAAAGTTTGTAAAAATATATAATAATAGGAAAACCTGATTTAGGACCGAGACATATCTTTAGAACTGATTTTACGTTGTGTTTGGGAGTTAATCTTAGAAGTAATTTTGGGAAAATTTTAACTGGTTTATATCTTTTTTGTTTGAAAATGAGTTTTTAAAAAGTGTTTGAGTTAGTTTTTATGGTAAGTGAAACTAAAAAATGATTTTAAAAAATGTTTATTTAGGGGTAAAAAATGGTGGGAAAAAGCTAAAAAGACAAAAAAACTATCAAAAAAACCCAAGGATTTTATGACTTTTGAAGCTCATTAATTTTGTCTACCTAAAAAGTTGTTTGAAAAGCTTTTTGGAACAACTCAATTTTTTTTTTTAGCTTGAAAAGCCAATAAACTAATAAACGAATTTGAAAAGCACTCCCAAACACAATCGGTCTACTTTTAAACTTATCATTAACTTGTAAGTATAAAGACTCGTGGACTGGTCTATGATTAGGACCAATCCTAACTACTCTAGTCCTTTTAAGAATATTTGTAGCTTGTTGCTTTTTAGTTTTGGACTTTTGATAAGAGAAATGGTCGACTTGCATTAAAGAAAAGTTCATATTTGACTTTTTGACAAGAGAAACGGTTGACTTTTCTTTGAACAGACCCGCTACCATCGAGTATGCTAAGCAAATACGAGCACTCACCACCAAGATCCTCTCGGTGCTATCTCTTGGGTTAGGACTAGAGGCAGGGCGGCTAGAGGAGGAAGTCGGAGGGGTAGATGAGCTACTCCTTCAACTAAAAATCAACTATTACCCAAAATGCCCTCAACCCGAGCTAGCCCTCGGTGTCGAAGCTCACACTGACGTAAGTGCACTCACGTTCATACTCCACAACATGGTCCCCGGGCTCCAACTCTTTTATGGTGGTCAATGGGTCACTGCAAAATGTGTGCCCGATTCCATTATATTGCACATTGGTGACACCATTGAGATACTTAGTAATGGAAAGTATAAGAGTATTTTGCATAGAGCTCTTGTGAATAAGGAGAAAGTTAGGGTTTCTTGGGCGGTTTTTTGTGAACCACCCAAGGATAAGATTATACTGAAACCGCTCCCGGAGACAGTTTCAGAGTCTGAGCCGCCACTCTTTCCACCACGGACGTTTCAACAACATATGGAACATAAGTTGTTTAAGAAGAATAGTGATGTAATCGATCCAAAATGATATTTTACGATTTGTATTTTCTTCGTCTATATTAATAAATTGTGCACTTATTTTCTATATAGACACATGCATTGTATTACCCTATTTAAAGTCATTTGACTTAAATAAGTGATTGTCTGATTGTAAAACTTATATATATTATCAATAACAATAATACATTATATAGTACAAGCAAATCTTCAAACCGAAGAGAAATGCAACAAATAATCGTTACAATATATCATGCACGCAATAACCGAAAATTTCAAGCTTTAAACATTATATTTTTAAATTATCTTTTTTTTTTTAAAATTTTTTTTTTTTATTATCTTCGTCTGCCAAAAGATAGAAGCTTTTTGAAACCACTAAGAGCTTTACTTGAAGTTTCGAAACTGCTCCATTTCTTCCTTGAAATGTTTCTTTCCGTGGTTTCTAACAT